CTTAATTTATTCTTGGAATACATGTATAAATTCTTTTCAAAAATGCATTGAACAAAAAGATATAGGCACATGAAATACGAAAAAGTCCCTAGGGACCTTCTCACAAATCGAAGGGTTAAGTAGTTCGACGGGGTATTAATACCGAAAACTTCTTTCCTGATTATGTTAAAGGATGGGCATTCGTCAATAAGATGAATTACTGTGAGGTTATTTGAATTGCAATATGGACACTGCGGTTTATTTGTTCCTTTTAGAATGTGGCTATGCGTGATGATTGAGTGACCAATTCGCAGCCGAGTAAAGAGTCTTAAATCTTTACAGGATACGTTCAGTGGAAAACTTGGTTTATTTCCATCTAGGTTGTAATTAGAATAGTGATGTCTGAAGTTGGTCCAATTCTGTATCTTAGTATTTGTTATTTGCCTTTGGATTAGTAGGAGTACGTCACTATTTAGTACAGCCTGGCAAGTAATTAGTGGTTCGTTAGTGGCAAGTTTTGCTCTCTGATCAGCTGCTTCGTTGCCGGCAATGCCAACATGGCCTGGGACCCACATAATTTTTATCGTTTCCTTTCGATCTGACAACATGGAGCGTATTGACAAAGCAAGGGCGTTTTTATTCTTCACATTAGTCAACATGTTAATTGCGGAAAGACTATCGGTGCAGATAATAAACTTCTTGTTTGTGATCAATGCAATTTTAACCGCTTGACGTATCGCTTCTACTTCAGCTGTGTAAACTGAGCAAAAAGGATAGAGTAGACCCGCACGCAAGGTATTTTTGTTTTCGTCCACAACTGCAAATGCTGTATGAAAAATGGTTTTCGACGCGTCCGTGTATAAAAAATTCCAACCTTTGTTTTTAAGGTCTGTATTGAGTTCGCGAAAAATACTACGAAAAACTAGTGGTGAAGTATTCGTTTTGTGATAGGCCATGAGCTCGGAACAAATAAAACTATTGAGGCATTGCCAAGGCGGCGGTGTTTTGAATACTGGAGTCTTTGGTGTAATTGTAAGGCCTAGTGCCTTCGCCAAAGAAATACATCTGGCGATTGTGGACTTACGTTTTAGTGGTCTCTTTCTTATAATTTCTGAAGCTACCAATTTGTTGAGCGTGCGATTATTGCCGTTAAGTATTTTAGGAATTAGCCTCAGTGTGTTATGAGTTACTCGTTCTTGTATGGACGGAAGTCCAGCTTCCATTAAAATGCATTTCAGTGGTGAAGTAGGGAAGGCCCGTATGCTTCTCCGAGCTGCTGCGTGGTATGCTGGTGTTATTAATTTAAGCTGACTTTTTGAGCAGTGTCCATAGATTGTTAGGCCATAGTCCACTTTTGACAGGATAAGTGCTTTCGTTATGTTTATAAGCGTTGTTGGGTGTACAAAGCAGTGCTTCGACGATAGGTACTTAACAATATTAAGGCGAGTTATTAGGTTTTTTTTAATATAAGTACAATGATCTTTGTAAGTCAGTTTTTTATCGAAAATAATACCTAAGATTCTTAAGCTATCGCAGTTCGCAATATTAACATTGTTGATACTTAAATTAAGCGGTTGACAAGCATGTTTATTACAAAGGTGTAACATTTTACATTTTTCATAAGAAAGAGATGCTCCCGAATTCTGTGACCAAACGGAAATGTCTGTAAGGATTTGGTTACAATCCGTATGTACTTGTGATAACTCTTTACATTTAGTGAACAAAATGACATCATCGGCATAGATTACATAGGATATTCTTTTGTAATTATTAAGTATGTTGTTAATTTCATCAAAAGCAACTATAAATAGAACTACCGAGAGCGGAGAGCCCTGAGGTATGCCGTTTTGAAGCTTGTGTGTTTTAGAATATTTATTGTTAACTTTTGCGGAGAAAGTTCTATTTGTTAAAAAATTCTTTACGAAATTATAAATTCTAGAACCAATTTTCCATCTAGCAAGTTGCCTCAAAACTACGTGAATGCCGATCCTGTCGTAGGCTTTTTCGAAGTCTAGACTAAGGGAAAAGACGTGATTTTTTGTTGCGATGGCATTGGAAACGAAATTTTCGAACGATAAGAGGGCATCAATTGTACTATGACTTTCTTTAAATGCGTATTGATTGGGACTTGTACACCCTTTAGTAACTACGAACCACATTATCCGTTTTGCGACGATTCGCTGTAGTACCTTGCTCAAGCAAGGCAGAAGGGATATCGGCCTATATCCGGAAGTCATTGTGGAGGGGCCATTTGTTTTAGGGACTGGAACCACTATGGCATGTTTCCACATGTGCGGAAATATACCGTGTTCGAAAATATCGTTATATAAGTCAATAACCCTTTCTTTTACTTGACACGGTAAATTTTTTAGCATTGGATATGATATTCTGTCCCTGCCGGGTGTTTTACCAGACATCGCGGAAATTGTGGAGTCGTACTCAAATGTGGTAAACGGACATTCAATCCTGTTGCTATGAGTAAGTTTGGTGGTGTTAATGTACTCATTGCTGATGGTATTATATTTTTTTGAAATAAACTCTTGGTTGAAGTTGGAGTCTTCCGAATACTCCGCCCAGATAGTCGCGAAATGGTTGGCCATTTCTTCTGGCGCGTAGATAGGGCCCTGGTTGGTATCTAAAAACTGTATGGTGGGGGGTTTGTTAGAGCCGGTTAGAGTTCTGATGTCGGACCAGACCTTTTTTGGATTTGAGGTAGGGTTTATCGACGCTGTTATTGACTCCAGGCTTTTCCGTTTAGCTTCCTTCATGTTCTTTTTGAAAATCGCGTTCGCTCTTTTGTAGTTAATAAGATTATATACAGACCGATTTCTCCGGTAGGTATACCAAAGCCTCTTTTTTTCGTTTCGCAGGCTGCTCAGGCTTGCGGACCAGTATGGAACTACTTTCTTGAGTTGTTTGCTGTGAGTTTGTGGCATTGAAAAGTGTGCAGCGGTACGGATAGCTTTCTGGAGTAAACTAGCTTCTTTATTAACATTGTTCGATTTTGGGGCCTGAGTGATCATTGAGATGACCACTGTTTTAAATTTGGACCAGTTTGCATTCTCTGTTTTAAATTTTGGCTTCGGTTTGCCGGGGTTTGAGATGGCGGATGTAAGTTTTGTAACCAGAGGGAAGTGGTCACTACCGTGCAGGCAGTCCAGTGTGGAGCACGAAAGCTTTGGGGCAATACTCGCTGAGCATAAAGCTATGTCTACATGCGTGAATGACTGGTGTGTGGAGAAATGCGTGGGTGCATTATCGTTGAGGACAATAAAATTGTCTGTGAGGATAAGATCTTCTAACACTCTCCCTCGCTGATTTGTTACCCCGGAGCCCCAGAAGGGGCTCCAGGCGTTAAAGTCTCCAGTTATAATCAGGTTTGTTTTAAAATTTTTAATAATATTTTGTAGGTCTTTTAATTCAAAAGTTTGTTGTGGTGGGGTGTGATAATAAATCCTAAGTTAATTTCGATAGCAATAGTTGATATATCTGATTGCACCTGAATTTGTTTATGTGGGATATCTTTCTTTACAAGGACGGCAACGCCTTGTTTACCGGATGTGTTTTGAGGTAAGTTAAAGAAATAATGATTATACGAATTTGAAATGGTTGTAGTTTTGTTATGAGGTAAGTGGGTTTCCTGTAATGATATAAGTGACGGGGAATGTTCTTTTATGAGAAGTTGAAGTTCGTGCGAATTATTAATAAGTCCTTTGATATTCCATTGCAACAAAGTGAAAGTCATCTCAGTGGAGGACAAAAGACAGACAAAAAGAAGGGAAAAGAAATATTTTTTTTTTTTAGGAAATATCTACATCTGAGTCTAGTGATGTAGATTGTGAAGTGAAATAATTGTTATTTTTCAAAAGCTGCTTGGTAAGGCTAGTAAATGGCGAGAAACTTAAAAATGGGGTTGGTTGTGCCGGGCTAGCTTCGTTGCTCGCGGTTGCTGACGATGGAAAACTCTTAGTGGTGACAGAAGTGTTTGTGTTGTTGCATATGGACTCCGATAGTTCGTTTTCTGTGACTATAGGTTTAGGAGTTTTAAGGACGAATTTGTTGCTCACTTTTGGAGTAATATGTGGAGTGGGTAACGTATTATCTATGTGGTTTGTTTTTAATGTTGTTGATTGCATGTTATCAGTGGGGGTAAGAGAGGTTGATTGTACTTTGAGGGGTACATTGGCTGCGTTACTGACAACGCCAGCAAAAGATGATGGGGATGAGGTTTGGGGTAGCTGTGCTATGTATTTATTTTTAGCTTGCTTCAGTGTGCATTTTTGCTGAATTTTAATTTTCAGAATTTCCTTTTGTTGTATGAACTTGGTGCATTTGTTAGAATTGGAGGGATGTTCGTCCTGACAATTTGCGCACTTAGTACGTATGCATGCGCTGTTGCTATGTGGAGGGAGGCTACAGTTGACATAAATAGGCTCGTTTTTGCAGTACTTTGCAGTGTGTCCCAACAATTGGCACATTTTGCATCGCATGGGATTTGGGATGTATTCCCTTACTTGAGCCTTATGCCATGACACATTGATTGACTGAGGCAAGTTGAAAAGGTCGAAAGTTAGTAGGACAACACCACTATTTTCCGATTTATTATCACGTTTTTTAAATTTGTAAACGGACACTACGCCTTGCAGTTCTAAGTTCTTCACAATTTCTTCTTCTGAGACGTGGTGGAGGTATGGGTCGTATATAGTTCCTTTTACAAAATTCAAGTTATCGTGGTACTTACACGTGATTTCGCAAAGTCCTGCCAACTGTTTGGCGGATATAAATTTTTGTGCTGCTGTTTTGTTTTCGACGAGAAGTAGAAGATTACCATCACGAAGCTCCGATACGCTGATGATATCTTTGCTTATGATGTGTAACGATCTTTCTACTGCGAAGCATGAAAAGTTAGTCAAGCGTTTATTCTCGTCTTTAGAGGAAACAACAATATATTTTGGGTCAGACTTTGCCGAAACCAGGTTAGGTAGATTTGGGAATTCGGATAGTTTTTTCCGTTTTTTTGACTGATGGGGGACTAGGAGCTAATACAGCAAACCTGTTGTCCCCAAGGTTAGAGGCCCTACGGGCCATTATAGCTGGGAATTCGCACCTGCAGCAAATTAAGAAAAAAAAAACACCTACACGTGTAAGTGAAAAAAGACGCGAGGTATTTGTTTGTTTGTTTTTGTATTTCACTGACGGGCTATGGAATAGCAGAAAAAGGGAAACACAGAAAAACAACCGTTCGCACCGAGAGCTAGTCGACGACTGGATACTTTAGTTAATTTTTGAGTGAACTAAATAAAAATAAAAGTTGTCATTAAAATAAATGCAATTCATTAAAAATTTATAAAAGTAATAATTAATGTTTGAAATTTGAGATTTGGATAAGAATAAAATAATTCTTAATTTTTGTCTATAGTTTGGCTTGTTGATTGATAATAGAAATTAATCAAATAAATAATTGTAGTAACCGTTTAATTAAAAAAATTCGAAAATAATTGAAAATGATCAAAAATAACAAACTAATGATGTAATTAAATTTTTTTAAGTAATTATATGTTAATCATTGAAAACACGCTTTAATTAATAATCATTATGAATATTAATCATTATTTAACAAGTATGGTACTCGCTTTAACGGTTTACAATAAAGCCAAATAAAAGTTATAATATTTTGTGTACTCTATTGTATTCAACTGTCGAAGTCAAATAAAACAGGACACGAATACATAAATCGTTTTGTACTTGGTACAAGTCTGGACATTTTCGAACTAGTTCGGTTTCTGTCAGGAAATTCTAGTTGTAAACTAGTATTTTTCCTGACTAGTTTGGGGTTTCACTGCAGGGTAGCAACACAATTTTGATGACATTTTTAAATACACATGTATATTTTAAATTGTGTGAAAGCTGACAGTTTATAGAATTCAGTAGCGACGAAAACAAAGGGGGGTTAAGTGGTTAAACCTTACCCAAGCCGAGCATAAAACTTGCGACGCAATTTCGGCTTATGTCTGTGGGTCTTGGCAAGAATGTAATCCCTGAAGGTTTAGCTTAAAATGGTTTTCGGGATACACCCTGTGATCATGTTACTTTCCAGAAGGTTTGGCGCCCGTTTTTCTGTACATATTTTCGTTGGAAAAATACCTTATCACAGTATTCTAGGTAAATGTTTCCAGAGGTATTTATGCGTCACCAGAATTTTAGTTTATTTGGCTTATACCGCTAGCTCTTTTCAACGGCTACGAGATTGTTTTCATATACCCCCATTTTTCATAGGTTTGGGATTGATTTCATTACCTCTATTCCTAGTTCTACGGTGGCACGCCGCATTTTCCAATAAACTCATATTTTTCCATGAGCTTGAGATTGACTTCATATACATATATCCATACAAAGTTCCAGGACTCTACCATAAATACTTCCAGAGATATGCACTACGAAAAATTCGATTTGTATGGGAGGTTCCACACCCCCTTTAGATATCGGGTTTGTTTTAGCCTATAACCATTCTTGGAAGATTTGTGTCCGAAATTTCAAAAAAATCGGTATAGCCGGTATGGGCATTGTGACTCCTCAAGGGAAATGAACTAATGATTGCAAAAAATTAAATCAAACGTCGTAGTTGACCAAAAACGAACATTAGACTTCATTCTCTCAACTTCTCAGAATGTAGAAAAGCTAAGAAATATATAATAAGATAGGATATATTAAAACAGCCTCCAAAACATTTACTAAAGACACCCCTGGACTACACAAATCAGTTTTATTGAAAATTTGTTTTTATCTATTTATTTTATCCTTCAATTTTGGGTGTGTCAAAATTTCATGTGAAAACAATATGTGTTGCTAGAAAAATTTTACGGCCCATGGGTTCCAAAGTAAATTCCATTGCTGTTAAATGGACAAAGACAATATGTATTAAATAACACATCGAAATGTGTAATTTCAGTAATTTGTGTAAATGTGTAATTTCAGAATTACATCAGAATCACGTATCCGATATAGAAAACTACATTGTGAAATAATGAGATGACATGAGGACACTAACATAATTTTAAAATATGTTCACTAAAATTGTATTAATATTAAAATAATGATGTGGCAAGTTGTTATCGAATTTAATGTAAAATTTAAACGTTTTCAAGATAAGATATTGATTATTTTTAAAAGGTATATATTAATACAACTGTTTTCTTTATAATCCCAAATTTAGGATACAAAATGTCCCACACCAAAAAACTTACAATTGGGTAATGCCGCTTCGAATTTTTCACAATTGAGCAATTGTCAAAAATCCGCTTTTTAATCAAAAAGTTGTTTATTGAAACTACCTTCTTTTTTGTATCATGATAGAGCACACAAATTTGTACTTTCTCTCTTTAATTTAAAAACTCCTTAAATATAATAAAAAACATATAAGAAGAAAACATATAAAAATAAAACGAATAATCAAAAATAATTACCTACATATATACATCATTTTTTAGTATTTGTTATTATATTTGATTTCTTCTTTTAATGGTTAATGAATGGTTATTTCTTAACTGTTTCTAATTACACTGATTACTAATTATTAGAATATTTGAAACAAAACAGTTAATCATTAACATATAAACAAACACCAAATCTTTTTTGCTATTCAAAATCAAAAATAAATATGCAGGTTTAAAATTATTGGATTCTTTAAATTTCTTTTTAAAGATGTGAAAACAAAGGCAAATAAACCATCACAAAAAATATTCTTTTGTACATTTACCTGTGGCCTTGACCTCAGACGCTATATTTCTCCATGCCAAACTAGTCATGTCTGTTGTACAGTCGTTTTTTTCTGTATAGTTTCATAAACAAGGTTTTTTTTTTATAAATTCGACAAAAAAAAAATTGAGGAAGATGCTTCCGCCTGTGAAATGGTCATGCTTATTGCAAAAAATACCGCGCAATACTAATCTCACCTCGTTGAGGAAACCGTGTCGCACGTGCGATACGCATGCGATATTGTTGTTGTTGTAGCGGCACTACTAAGCCCCGCTTGTTTCGGGTCAACTTTTAATCATTATCGTCAAGCTCAACTAACGGTAGGCCCAGGAAACGAGCTGTTTCGATGGGGTCGGACCAAAGGGAGAGGGGTGTTAGTTGAGTCGGATTGAGCTGGCATGTGAAGAGGTGGTTGGTGTCGTGGGGGGAGTCTCCACATGCCGGGCACTCATTTGGGATGTTTGGGTCGAGTCTGGACAGGTAGCTGTTTAGGCGGCTACAATATCCAGACCGTAACTGAGCCAGGGTAACGCGGGTCTCTCTAGGTAGTTGAAGCTCCGTCTCTTCCACAGGTGGTGATTGGGCTCCGATAACGACATTCTTAGGCCGGGAGTCGAGGTAGGTGGAGACTGACTCCCTATGAATGTCGTTAATCGCTTGTCTGTACGTCATTGGGTCCAGTGGTTGGTCTGTGTGGGTCTGGACTGCGTCCTTGTACACGAATAGGTGCCCCCTGACGTGCCTGGGCGGAGGCTCCTCCTCCAGCAGTGGTCTGTTGGGGTGTTCGCTTCTGTGACACCCCACCAGAAACTGCTTACAGAGCATTTTGTTGTGTTCCCTTACGGGGAGCACTTGGGCCTCGCTGTGTAGGTGGTGCTCAGGCGTCATCAGAAGGCACCTAGTCGCTGTCCGGAGTGCGGCGTTCTGACAAGTCTGTAGCTTCGTCCACTGCGTCCAACTAGTCCCCGGTGACCAAACTGGCGCTGCATAATTTAAAACCGGCCGGCCAATTGCCTTGTATGTTGCCAGCAACGTTTCTTTGTCTTTGCCCCAAGTGCTGCCGGCGAGCGACTTTAGGACCTTGTTGCGGCTCTGTACTTTGTTGACAACTGCGGTTGTGTGCGCGGAGAAGGAGAGCAGGCTATCAAAGGTAACCCCTAAAATTTTTGGGTTGTTCACCGTCGGTATAGGTGTGCCGTCGACGTGAATGCCTAATTCGAGCCTGACCTCCTTCGTCCAGGTGGTGAAGAGGGTCGCCGTTGATTTCGTTGGGGAGAGGGTTAGGCTCCTTGCAGTGAAGAAGCGAGAAAGGCTGGAGAGATAGCCGTTTACTTTTGAGCAGAGGTCATCAATTCCATTCCCAGACGCCAAAATCGAACAATCATCAGCGTACGAGATCAGGGAAACTCCTTCAGGAGGCTGGGGGAGTTTCGAGATGTAGAAGTTAAACAGTAAGGGGGAGAGAACACCACCTTGTGGAACCCCTTGTTTTATTCTTCTTGGTTTCGATGTTTGATCTCTGAAGATTACTGATATACGATATTATATCTCAGCGGTGTCGCTGTCGTGCAAGTGTGCACAGTTTTCATCGCTTCCTACCAATTCCCACGTACTCAGCATGCCGATATCGCATTCATATCTTATCGCGTATCGTATCGCATATCGTATCGCTCTAAGGTGCACCGTGCCTTAGGGCCGGTTACTCAATGTCTGGTTAACACTAACAGCAGGTTAGACATAACTATCGACGTGATAACAGGAGTCGATATCCATGTTTAACCTGTAGTTAGTGTTAGCCAGACATACTTAGCTAGTCTAAACAAAGTTGAAAATCATTAAGGCACATTCGAAATTTCATTGCAATCAAATGCACCGAGCAGAAGTGCATTTGGAAAATGCATATAAAATGTCATGCGTTTGCAAATAATCCATTATCCCATGCATTTGAATACATCAATCTGGCGACTTCTAGCTTTCGCTTGGTATAACTATTGCCCCCTAAAATAGATCCTGAGGGCAGCAGTATATCGTGAGTCTTACAATGACTACTGTGATAAAAGTGGGTCAATTGATCTTGTATTTGGCCTCTTACATTAATCGTACCTAAGCCCTTTGATATGGATCTCACTAGAAGCTCCATTTCATGAAGAAAATCGTACGTGTCCCACCCGTGACAAAAATTGTCCCACCCGTGCAAGGAGAATTTTGAATTTTTTAATAATAAACAACTAATCGTTGTTATGGTTTGTGCTTTATTAGGATTGCTGGTTCTTTTCTGTATAGTAAAACATCTAATTCAGATAGAAATTTTAAGTTCTGTTCTCCAAAGAGCAGTGTCTTTTCTTTGTCTTACCCGTGACAGAAGAAAGAGCTCATAATTTTCCCATATAAAATCAAGTTGGAACATTTTTCGTATTTGGCAATAACTCGTATATTAGTGAACTAGGTGTAGCTTTATCGAAATGTAGAATTGTTTAGCCCTTTATACTTAAATTTACAAAAGAAAAACTATTTTTGCTGTATTTAGGGTGAAAATGTCGCATTTATTCGACAAAGTAGATGCAAATATTCTGCAGCACAGGTGTTGTTTTTGGTGTGACTGCTGAGTTGGGTGTCAATTTGTAGCCATTGGCTGTTATCACTTTTCCGGAATAGGCAGCTTCAAGTCGAGCAATAATTTAATAGTGTTTTTAATGCTAAAGAAGTTACATCTAAAAATTTTATTTTAGATACATGCAATCTTGCTTGTGTTGATGTAATTGTTTGGCCGCCAGTTTCACGGCGCTTTTATTACGCGTGTCTTGGAAGTCTTGATAACGTGCTTCAACTCTTAGGGCATGCAAGGGAGTTGGAGGAAGGGCGCCAATAGCTCACCTGAAGCTTTTGTTGAGGGCGGTGTTGATTTTCCTTACATTATTAGCGGATGTCCATCCATAGATTGTAATGCAATCTTGTAGGATGCCATTTGTTAGGGACTGGCATATGTTGAGTGCTGTTTCTATATGTGGACCTTTTTTTTACGAGAGCAGATAAGTTTCATGAGATTGTTAACTTTGTAGAGTTTGTTCACAACGTACTTCGAATGTTTATTCCATAGTAACGTTTAATACTACCCCAAGAATTCTAATACTATTTTTGATCTGGATGTTATTCTCTCTCAACTTTAATTTGGTCACTGCACATTTCTGTTTACGGCACACGTGTAAGGCTTCAACTTTGATAACGGGCACTTTAGCGCCCCTGCTATTCGCCAAAATGTTGATTTTCTGGTCCAAGGACTCAATGTGATTTCCAACCTCCCCTTGTGGGCCTGAATATATTGTCAAAGTGTTATCCGCGTAGATTCCGAGAAAGTCTAATCCTTCAGATTTTTTGAGCTCAACGGCAAGCGAGTTTTTTGTAGACATTATATAGAATAACGGAGAGTGGTGAACCTTGCGGTAGCCCGTTTTCCAGGGCGCGTTTATGGGAAAGGTAGCCGTCTATCCGTGTTGTAATTAGTCGGTTGGATAGAAAGGATGAAATTACTTGCAGTAGTTTTCTTGGAATGCCCCATTCGTGAAGCTGTTTGATAACAAAAATATCAATTACGCGATCGACATTCAACATTAGCTGCCGTAGAGAGCAGACGTGTTTTCGTCTTGCTCCTGCTTTTTGTTTTTGATTTTGTTTTCTTTTGATTTATTTAATATCTTATCATGGTTGGCTTGTGCGGAAAATGTGCAAAGGCATTTTCAAGAAACGATGTTTGTGTTGTGTCATGTTCAGGACTCTGCAAAAAGATTTTTCATCGTGGCTGCTGTGTTGGCCCCATCTCGGAATACGATGTGAGACTATTTGAGTCGAACCGCCATATTGGTTATATTTATGTGTGAGGAGTGTGTGAAGCTACTCGACGCAATGCAATTGTCGTATAAGCTTAGCGTGGATACTATTTTGAATGCAGTTGAGTTGAAATTTAAAGATTTGGCCAAGCGATTCGCCGATTTAAAAAATGAAATAAAATGCTTATATCTTTCTGGCAACAACAACCTTCGCATTGCGGATGTATGTTCATTGGTAAATAGTTACTCGGATGGTGCTGTTAATCAGTATCAAAACACTGCTAACGCAAACAATAGTGCTACTTGTTCTTCCACCGCTAATGGTACACTTGCTGTTCCTGTCACTCAATCGTCTAATATCGTACCTGCTCTACAATCTAATAGAACATTTGTCAATACAGTGGATTCGAATTCGCGCCCGATTGCATTGTTATCTCCATCTCATGGTCCTTGTCCAGATAAAGGCTACTCTGTTAACCTCAGATCTGCTGCCTCGTATCCTACTACAGCTGCTCTGTTAGCTTCACCTAGAGCCACTGGTCCTGTTATTGCTGCTGTTAATATCGATTCCAATGCTAATGTCGCTGTTAGCACGGCTACCAATGCTAATGTTGCTTTTAACACCGCTGCTACTAATAACATTCACTCTACATCAATAATCCATCCGAATTTAATCCCTATGGAAAATTTATCAACTCAATCAATTGATATTTCTGGTGCTCCTCTGCTTCGTAGCCCTGGTGGTGACAAAGGTAATTGGACTAAAGTGCCTCATAGAAATGTCAAGAGGCGGAATAATGTTATTCGTGGATGCAATGCAAACAGTGAACTTGATGTTATAGTTAAGAAGAGATGGGTGCATGTCTCCTCTTTTAACCCTGAAATCTCGGAGCAAAGCGTTATCGAATATGTCGCAAAACAAACTGGCATTGCCATTAAACATCTAGCCTGCAATAAACTTGTAAAAAATGGCACAGATGTAAGCTGAGTGACATGAGTAAGCTTCGGAGTGTGAACCTGAAATTTGGTGTAGTTCCTGCTTTCTATGATAAAATCTTAGCTTCTGAGGTTTGGCCGTCGAGTATCAGTATAGGCCATTCAAGTTTTTTCAAAAGGAGGTGAAGTCAGCCACTACAACTGCTGCCTGTTTGTGCTACGGAATCCCGCAATCCTCAGTCGAATTTCAAAATATACTACCAGAATATGGCTGGGATGCGAACAAAGGCCAGTGCTGTTTACTCGGCTACGTGCCATGCCGATTATGACATTGTTTTTCTTGTTGAAACGTGGTTAAATGCTGACTTTTGTAGTGAGGAGTTTTTTGACAGGAACGTTTATTCAGTGTTTCGTAAAGATAGAGACAGTATAGCTACGGACACCACTCGTGGTGGAGGCGTGCTTATTGCAGCAAAGGATCACTTGCAAGTGTCTGCAATTCCCTTAAAGAATACTGATTCTAAATTGGACCAATTATGTGTATCAATATTGGGTCAAGAATCACCTTTATATTTATGTGTATCATATATACCGCCTAATAGTTTAGATAAGCTTTATTTTGACCATGTTAATAATATCATAGATCTAGCAGTTTTGAATAATAATGTGCAGCTATGCCTACTGGGAGACTACAATTTAAGTAAAATAGTATGGTCTTATGTAGAAGAAAATGTGCTCATACCCAGCAATGTAAAGAGCCCTCATGAATTTTATTTGATTGACGAGTTTTATAGTTTACAATTAACACAAATCAATTGTTTTGTAAATGAACTAAAAAAGATATTAGACTTAATTTTCGTTTCTAGTGAATTAAAGTATAATATTTACAAGTCTGAATATCCGATATCACCTACTGATGGACATCATACCCCTGTCATTGTGGAGCTTCAGTTTTATGAATTTGCTAAGTTAGCCCATGGATTTGTCCCCAATTGGAATTTTAATCGATGTGACTTTTCCCATATCAATAACCTCATTTCTGATTTTGATTGGGTAACATCATTTGGGTGTCATCATCTTTCTGAATGTTTTAATATTTTTATATCAAAACTTGTGCAAATATGTGCTGAAAATATTCCGGTCTTTCCGAAAAGAGTTCATAAATTACCTTGGTACAATAGGAGATTAAAAAACCTTAAAAACTTGCGTAATAAGTATTTCAAATTGTTTAAAAGTACGGGTGATTGGCAATACAGAGTTCTCCACGTGAAATACCTGTCGGATTTCAATTGCTTGGACAAGTTTCTTTATAAAAACTATTTACTTGGTTTTAAACATAATTTTAAATCGGATCCAAAAGCGTTTTGGAATTTTATTAACTCGAAACATTCTTCTTCACTTATTCCGTCGTCTATGTCTTTTAATGGGATGACGTCTAAATCACCCTTTGAGACTGCTAACTTGTTTGCTAGCTTTTTCAAATCAAATTTTGTTTCTGATCTCTCATCGTTTGGGGAATTAGGAGATATTGGGATTTCTCCCTCGCTGGATTTTGGAGGTTTGGAATTATCCGAGGAGGATGTATCTTGCTCGATTAGGGAGCTTAGTAATTCGAAGCAGGCTGATGCTCATGGAATTTCTGCGTTTTTCCTCAAACAATGCATTACTAATCGAAGTAACCACCACTGAACTGTTGTTTAACATGTCTCTCAAACTGGGTATTTTTTTTGGATGAATGGAAATTAGCCTTTGTTACTCCTATCTTTAAAGCAGGCGATAAATGCCAAATTTCCAACTACAGTCCTATTTCTAAACTCGCTAACTTTGCCAAATTGTTTGAAAAAGCTGTTAGTACTAAAATGACCTTTGCAATTAAGCCGTTTATATCTATTTCCCAGCACGGGTTCATCCCCGGACGCTCAACTGTTACCAACCTAGCAGTTTTCTCAAATTACTGCATCTCTTCTTTTGTCGATGGTTGCCAGGTAGATACCATATATACCGATATATCGAAAGCGTTTGACAGAGTTTGTCATGGGTTATTATTGTGTAAGTTACGCTCATTTGGTTTTCACTCCAAGTTTCTGGATTGGCTCAGATCTTATCTAGTCAACAGAGTCAACTTTGTATCAGTGGATGGTGTAAAATCGCATGCATATGTTGCTACTTCGGGTGTTCCCCAAGGCAGCATATTAGGTCCGTTACTCTTCTTAATTTTTATTAATGATGCCAGTGCTTGCTTTAAACAATGTAATCACCTCTTATATGCGGATGATTTGAAAATTTTTAAATATGTAAACGCTAACTCTGATATACAGGCGAAATAAGCTAGAGCTTAATATTAACAAGTGCTGTTTTGTGAGGTACTACAAAAGACGTTTACCTCTGCAGTCGTCGTATCATATTTCAGACTCCGATATAAGCTCCTATAATAAAATTAAAGATCTTGGAGTAGTGTTCGACTCGGGCTTCACGTTCATTGAGCACCTATACTACATTATTCCCAAGGCATACTCGTCATTGGCTTTCATAAAGAGGAATAGCTCTGAATTTAAAGATCCCTATACCAAGAGAATTTTATACAGTGCTTTCGTGAGATCGAAACTAGAGTATGCGTCTGTCATTTGGAATCCTTATTTTGATACTCACTCAAAAAGAGTAGAGCATGTACAAAAGAGTTTTCTAAAATTTGCGTTATACCAGTTGAAGTTTGATTTGCCAGTTCCGCCATATATTTCTCGCTGTAAATTAATTGATATTCATACTCTAGCTGGAAGAAGGACTATTTCTGGGCTCATGTTTATACATGATATTCTTAATGGTAGTATTGACTGTCCTGTGCTGCTACAGGTCATAAAACTGAATGTTCCTGTTCGATCTTTAAGGTATTTTGAAATCTTCTCAAAAGAATTTTATAAAACTAAGTACTCGCAAAATGAGCCTATTTCTAGGATGTTAGGTGAACTAAATGCTTTAATGAATAGAAGTAGAGATGTTTATGTGTTCTCCAGTCGCTGTTCTTTTAAGTTGGCCTTGAGGTCAAATTATAATTAGTCTTAAGTTAAATGTTATCTAGTCTGTTAGGTTCGGTAAAACCATAGACTTAAATAAATAAATAAATAAATAAATAAATAAATAAATAAATAAATAA